TTGTCCTCTTCTTCCAAGAGGTTTATATGGAAACTAGAGGCTGATATTTTAGTTAATTATTCATAAATCAACTGTAAACTTTGAATATATGTGGCTTCATGTGTCAGACATCCAAAGCAGAAGCTCTGCAAGTCAGAGGTTAAACTGACTGAAAGTCTAGGCGAGTTCTGCATTGATGCACTTGTCCCTGAGCGGCACCAGCACATTGTTGCATCAGTAACAATAACTCTGACAATGAGGATGTTCGATGTGGGAAATAAAAACAAAACACACACACACACACACTAACCTGCATCTGACAACAGGGCCAGACTGATCACAAATAAAAACAACATATCTCCTTGCAGCGGGGGATAATCCAAAGTACGAGAGAGGAGGGAGAAGACTGACACAGACAATCAATCCGCTGGAGTTACACAGAAGTTAAATACGCAAAGATCTCATCCACGATGGTAAAGTTTAAAAAAAAAAAAAAAAAGACAAGTGCGTAGACTCAAATCCCGTGTGGACTTTCTCTTTCACTCAGCTGCGATCCTATAAGGCGATAATAACTCAGTCGGAGGAAGAAACAACATGATCCCGGACGGTGTGTGATGTCCCGCTGCGAGAGCACAAGAGCCGAAGTGGAGGAGAAGGAGAAGGAGAAGCCCAGCTCGTCTTCTGCTCCGGGACCTGCAGCGTGTTTCATTTCCCTACAGTGTGAGCCCGGCCGCCCGCTCTGCCCCGCAGATCTATTTCTAAGGAGCGCAGGGAGACGGAGAGGTTGTGTTAGTGACAGCGCCGCGCAGCAGCTCCGCCTCTCCTCCGCGGGGTTTTTTTTTCCTTTTTTTCTTCTTCTTCTTCTTCTATGACTTAAAGGAACATTCCAGTTTGTGCAGAGCTGCAGTGGATGGAGCTCACACACAACCTGATCCTACACACCGGGTGGGGGGGGGGCCCTCCCCAACATGAGGGTCCCGGACCTCCAGGGGGCCTCTGTGAGGAGCTCAGGGTTAAAGGTGTCTAATGAGAGGAACACAGGTAAAGTTTGAATTTACCCACAAAACATATGGTAAACTTTTATTTATTTAATAAATTGATTATTTTCTACCATTTTCTACCATTTGAAGCGTCACAACAGATTATAGCTTCAAGCTCGTTTACATCTGCAGTCCCTTGGCAGAACAAAACAAAAACAAAATAAACACACTAAGCCAAATGTGTTTGTACTGCACATTATCATACACGGAGGGCATTCAATGTGCTTAACAGAAATAAATTAAGTCAACAAGACACAGTTACTACACATAATAACACAGAAGCACATAGTAATAATAATAATAATAATAATAGTAATAAACTTACATAATTGCAGCTCAAAGTGCTTTACAGAAGAAAAGTAAAACCAAAAACACAGGTAAATACAGCAGACATAAGGGGCAATAAAACTATATTAAAAAAACAGTTTTAAAAAACATAAAAAGGTATAAAAGGAATAAAAAATTGTATCAAGGAAAAGTAAAGCAAAAGCAAGATCATAAAAGTTGCTGAAGAAGTTGCTTGTGTGATGTGTTGTGAAATATGATTCATTATTAGCTTAACGGCCCCGCAGACCCACACAGGTGTCACTGTATGTGGCCAGTGACACACCTGCTCAGGTCGTCAATGAGAATGATCCATCTTTAACAGAACTAACAGGAAGGCCCTGAAAACTTACTACATGGGGAAGTATAAAGTGGAAATAAGTAAAGTACCTTCACTTGTTCATATGAATACGAAGGGTCCACGACATGAGAAAGTTTGGGACCCCCCGTTCAGACCACGTGGAGTCTGATGAAAAGCTGATGTGGGGCGTAAATGAGCGCTCATATCCACATTTCTGACTAATTGGCTTTGGATGGAGAAATTGCACACACACACACACACACACACACACACACAAAGTGATGCCGGATGAGCTGCTGACGCACTTCGAATTACACCGATTGGTTGCTCGGCTGAACCCGGCCGCGGCCCTTTGTTGACAACATTGTTGGTGTCCATACAAAACCAGTGAAATATGCGAGCCAGTAAATTGCAAGCATTTCGATTCCAGTCCTGCTTTCCACATGACCGTCTGTTCCCAACAATGGCTGCTCAACAGCCCATAAAGAAGAGGAGAGGGACGAGATGAAGGCATTCGCATATGAAAAATGAACTCAGGAGCTTTATTGTGAGCTTTAAACTCCCGCACCTTAGATCCTGGTAATGACAAACTTCAGTTAGTGTCCCAGCCTGCGCATGAGACAAGAGTGTGCAGGCTGCAGGTTGCCCCCCTGTGACCGGTAATGGTACCAAAAAAAAAAAAAGAAAAGAAAAGAAAAGAAAAAAGAAGCATTTCTGGGAGGAAATTGTTGCTGGAAAACTGTTCTTTCCGCTCGGGCCCATTTGGGTCAAGCTCCACTGAACACAGCATGGCTTTGGCTTCTCTGTCTGCTGTGTAATCGGACCATGACCTGCTTTCTGTGCATCTGACCCGTGTCCAATAAGCAGTGAGCCAAATGAAACTATCTCACCTGTTCACTTTGTTCTGTCCGTCCTGATTCACTCACCGGCCCTGCGCTTTGCGAAGAAGAAAACTGCTCTTTCTCAGGGATTTTTAAAACTCCTTTAAACCTCCTGTTTCCAGTCTTTATGCTAAGCTAAACTAAGCTGAGCTAACTGCCCGCTGGCTGTTGCTTCATTTAGCGTGCAGGCATGAGACTCTGTGGTCGTTTTTTATGTCTTTGTTGTTGTTTTTGTCTCTTTGTGGCTGTTTTACATCTTTATGCTAAGCTAAGCTGACTGTAACTTCACATAGCGTCCAGACATTAGAGTGGTATCAAACTTTTTTATCTCACTCTTGGCAAGAAAGTGAATTTAGCAAGTTTCCTGAAATGTCAAACTAATTCCTTCAAGCAGGTATAACGTTTGCCATGTTCATCATCTCAGTGCAGCGTGTTAGCGGCTGACATTTGCTGCCAAATTCCATGGCAGTCCATCCAATGCCAGACATTTCAGTCTGGAACAAAGTGTTGAACTGACGTTTCCTTCCCTAGAGCCATGTGGCTAAAAACTCTTACGTCTCAGACTGAAAGTTTTCTGTCAAACACTGAACTTTTGATGAGGTTTATGAGTTCATCCACTCCACAGTTCCTCTCCTCTGCAGACTTCAAAGGGCTCTTTGGCATCAGACTGGAAAGATCTGACCGGCCCCCTTCGACAAAGCCGTCTTCCTCCAGATGATGATACCGAGGAGTAAAAGGGCTGCAGCAGAAAGTTTCACAAATTGTAGGAGATAATAATTTGGACTCATGCAGAGCTGCACAGGCTGAGTATCTGCCCTCTGAACCAGGAGGGGTGGGCTTAGACACATTTGGAGGAGACACAAATTTAAAGCCTTGGTTCTAGGCAGTAATAAACTGTTTCATTAATAACAGTTACTTTACTTATTCAGTGTTATAATTAGATGACAAACAAACAACTTTAAACACTCTAATTTCAAATGTTCTCAATAAATAGCAGCTATTTGTAACTCCACAGAGCCCACAGTCACGGACAGATTATGAAACAAAAAGCCCCAGGACACAAACATGTAAAAGGCCGACCACCAGTCCGACATAGGAGCAAGACAGCCATACAATCTCTTTATGATTGTTTTACATCTCTTTGCTGTAGTTTTGTGTCTCTTTGTGATTGTTTTGTAAGTATTTGTGGCTATTTTGCTTCTTTTTGTGGTTGTCTTGTGTCTCTTTGTTGTAGTTTTGTCTCTTTGTGGTGGTTTTGTGTCTCTTCGTGGTCGCTTCCACCCCTGGATGCACCTCCTGGCCCTACCCCTGCCCTTGACAGACACACATTATCATCATGCCATAAGTGACACGGCGACTGACTAACAGATTGGTTAATTACACGAAGGGCAACTCAAAAGGAGAGGGAAGAAAAATAGGCTAAATGATGTAAGGACACAAATATTTCAACCATGCGAAGAAAGCGCCAGTGCAATTTCAGAGGAATTCACTGACAGAACCCAGCCCTTTACTGTAGGAAGTCAGATGTTGGTTTTATTCAGAGTATCAGGTTTGAACTTGTAACAGATGAATGCTTCAATGCAGAAAAATGAGTTAAATCTGCAGACTGTTTGCGCCTGGAGAGAAATAGCTGCCCAGACAGAGAGCCAGCACGACCCAGATATGACAGTCATTTCATTTTTTGCTCATAAACAGGTCAAACTTTTCAATCACTGAATAATTTTTTTGGCAGAGTTCATGTAAAATGAAAAACTCTATAGAGCAGATATTGTACAATAAGTATAGTTCTGAATAGACTTCATATGATTTGATTACAGTAATAATGAATATCATACAGTAATATAACGTCATTTCAAACAGCTGAATAAATCAATCAAATAATTGTTTCAGCTCTACTTTTACATAGATGTTTTTTTTATTTTTTACTTTTATCTGCAGCTGATCATATCAAGAATACCTGTCATTTTTAAAGATTTACTGGTACAAGCTTCTCAAATGGTAGTATATGTTGTTAATTTGTTTGTTTTCTGTGATAGCTAACTCCACATATTTTGATCTGCTGGTTAAACAAAAAACAAAAAACAAAAACAAAATCCAAACAAAACCCAAAAACAAAAACAAAACAAAACAAAACAAAACAAAAAACATTTTAAACATGTTGAATTGTGTCTCAGGAGATAATGAGCGTATTTTTCACCATTTCTGACGATTCTGACATTTTATACACTGAATAATCAGACAGTTATTAAAGGAAATCAATAACTATCAGATGTATTGATTATGAAAATAACTGTTGGTTGCAGCTTCACAGTGTATGTGTGATGGATTAATGTTATGTTTCTGTACGTTTTCTGTGTGTTAATCATTTGACACAGTAGACAATAAGGGGAACTTTAAATGACTGGCCGCAGTGACCGCAGTGACCGGTAGGTGGCAGTGTGTAAAAACACCGAGGCTCGTCAGGGGTCAAAGTGTTCCACTTCCTGCGCGGCGGCAAAGCGTGTTCTGGTTTGAGAAGCGCTAACGTTTTTGTGACGAAAAGAAGTCAAACATCAGATTAAGAACGCACGATACGTCTTTAAATTAAACAAAAAAATGGTGAGTATGTTTTATTTATGTTTACTATGAGCTCATTCGATACGTAGTGGGGTTGTTTTTGTTATCACCGCGCAGCGATAGCAGCTTGTTAGCTAGTTTGCGTTAGCTACGTTAGCTTCTCATTCATAACTTCGACTGAATGAATGAAACTCTCAAATTCATGCAAACAACCAGCCTCATGTGTCACGTTTATTTAGTTAAGCATATAATAATAAAAATAATGTGTGTTTATTACACTCATTCGTTTAAAGTGATATTATGGTGCCTTTTGTCCGAGTTGGGCCCGGAGGGAAAGTCAAACCAAACTCCGTTCTTACAATCTTCTAATTTAAGGAGCATGTACTTATCGGCAAAGAGTACGTTTTATCTTCTGCAGAACTTGGTCTTAATTGTACAATTTCTCACAAAGCGTTCAGGCTTTGGAAAGCTGTATTCTGTACTATCTGGTGTCTAAAAAAAAAGGCATTTTGTGCCTAATTTACTGTTATTACATATCATAGGACGTCACTAGATACTGGTTTTCATTTGGCATATGTTTGTCATAGCCACATTTATTTGGCAGATTTTTTGTAACTTAATTTGGCATTGTTCTGCTATTTAGAGAACAACGTGATGTTATACATGAGGTATGATGTTAGTGAATGGGATCACAGGATATATACGTATACCTATCTAATGTAGTCAAAGGGTATTGTAGTAAAGTGCGTCTTTTTTTCCTCTCTAGAGTTTACCTCTCAACCCAAAGCCTTTCCTGAACGGCCTGACAGGAAAGCCAGTGATGGTGAAGCTGAAGTGGGGTATGGAGTATAAAGGCTACCTGGTGTCTGTGGATGGATACATGAATATGCAGGTACGCAGTCACTATTAACTAGGTTACATACAATAAAAAGGTTATTTATCAGCCTTGATCTCTGCCATCATGCATTCATGTATGTATCATCATAAAGTTCATGTGTGATTTATTTTTGGTAAACTTTGATGCACTGATTTGAGAAGCATCTTACATTTTAGTTGATTTCAAAGTTTGTAACAGTTTCACGCATTATTTTCCTTTGGTTATTGCATGTTTACACTTAATTATATTATTATAAAATTGTCTACCTGTATCTATCCACCAGAGATAAATTGCATACAAAATGTTGCAAGAGGAATGGTACATATAATTTATTTGTTTTTGTTGAGGAGACTTAAATTAGGAGTCTTCCACATTAAATTGTGGATTCTGTTGAGTACCGCTTCCCTCTTTGTGAGAGAATATGTAATGTTCTGGGATTATATCATCCCTAACGGTACCATTTCCTTCAGTGGAAACGTGTGACCGTCTATGTGGGATGTTTATTTTGTTTATCTGGGAAGTTTATTTAAATTGCACTTAAAACAAATAATTTACACACACAAATTATAAAGTGCTTCACAAAGAAAAAAAAATACATGTACAAAATCATAAATTCATTTGTGAATTTTTATCAAATCTTACCAGCAAACATACTTGTTACATATGTATTACATGCATATACTACTACACACATAAATACACTCATGCAGACAAAATAAAAGACCCTTTCCATAAAAATCAATTTTCAGAAACGATTTTAAACAAAGGTATTACCTTGAAAATACACCTTTTATCGTTGCCCTGTGACCTCTATATTTACATGTTTCCCTGACAGCTGGCAAACACAGAAGAGTATGTGGATGGAGCATTGGCGGGTCATCTTGGTGAAGTGCTTATCAGGTATGTTTTAATATCTATTCATCTTTATTATGCAACCAGGCAAGTAGAGGTTCTTTTATGAAGTAATTGTTACTGTTCATTAAAATGTTATCGAAGGTAAGATTGGGAGTATCTTTAAGAGACCTTGCCAAGAAAGATTCACACACCCAACAAGCCTAGATGTGCAGCAGCACGATGAAGTCTGTCTGCTCGAATGCAGGATCAGATTGTTTACAGAGGAGGTTCTTTTCATGACCTCAGGCTTTAAGATCCTGAACTATCGTAACTAAGCTGTGTTAATAATTAATGTCTCATTTTTCAAAGAAATCAGTGATGGAAGCAAAAGAGCGCTACATGATCGACAGTCTTTTTCACCCGCAGCCAGTTGTGACTGTACCGCGTGTTGACAGGTGTGTTTCATCCCCACAGGTGCAATAACGTTTTGTACATCAGAGGTGTAGAAGAAGAAGAGGAGGACGGAGAAATGAGGGAGTGATGTCGGTGTCTGAGTGTGACTGTACCTCGTAGCTGAGTTAACGTGTGTTTGTGTTTTCACCATGTGAAACAAATGAATGTTTGGGGGTTTTTTTTTTTGTTGTTATTTTTCAAGCAGTTTTGAAAATGATTCCTTTTTTTTTTTTTTTTTTACTGTATGTGAGGCCAATTTTATGTTGTGACATTGTGATACAGACACAATAAAGTGATTATTGTACCCTTTCTTAAACCTGTTTTTGCATTTTTTTTAATCATGTGATGTCTGAACTTGTCTCTAATAATTAAACCGAACAGAGCAGAGATAGATTCCCTAGTTAGATGGTTGTCTGTGACAGAAGCACCACCCCTCTCTGTGCACTTTAAACTCTCCTGAACAAATATTTGCCTGTTGTCAAACTAGTTTAAAGCCAGTCACTCTCAAGTAAGTGTCTCCGCTGCTGTGGATGAATCAAAATGTCCAGCAATCACAGATTACTGGTGAGAAATGCCAAACAGGTGGTTCTGATCTGCAGCAATGGAGAGAAATACCTGACCAAGCATGGGCTGCAGAATCTTTGTGTGATTGAAAATGGGAGCGTAGTGATAGGGAGGTAAGTTTCCTAAACCACAGTGTAAGTTGAATTAGATTGAAGAGAAAGGATTTGTTATTATATTTGCATAGAGCAGCAAGAGCAGGCGTCTGATCCTCATACTGTGACAAAAAGACAAAAAGAAAGCATAGATGTTTGTTTAGCATGTTTTGGCAGTGAGTTAAATATTGATTTAATAAAGAAATGTGATAAATGACTTAAATTCTCATTAATGTAGCTGCTCTTGGATCTGCAGACGGCTCTGGTGGAAAGTCTTTTACTCTGCAGCGTCCAGGACTCATTTAAATCAAGGCTCTCTGGTGCCTCCCAGAGGCGTAGTGACTCATTACAACCAGAAACGCCCTGTTTTATTTATACCACTTTATTTTTTCTATTTTCTTACAAATGTATATAATCTTTGTGTTATTATTCAGTTAATTACCACTTGCTATTTCAGGTTTTTATTTTGACGAGATGTCGGTGCACATTTTAATATCTGTAAAGTTATTTTAATTATTCTTTTTTACCACTGAATGAACATTTTCATTGTGTATATAAACACATATAGAACCAGATGCCATAAATTCATATAAGACGGGACTAGAGAACTGCGAATACATTACTAAACAACTGAGACAGTCCAACAATACAAACCCAACGGAAGCATCTGCTATATAGTGCAGAAAAAAATCTGGATAAATACTAATTTAAAGAATCCATCTTGTCTTCTTTTCAAGGCTTTTCAGTCAAAGTATTTCAGAGTTTTGTCAAAACATTTAATGGAAAATTAACTCTCTTAAATCATCATCATTTGTATTTCCTTTCCACTAGTGGAGCAAAAAAAAACAAAACAAGAGAAGCAAATTTTGGCCTGATGATGGCTCCAGAGGAAATGCCATGTTGTTATAGGATTTACCCTCAGTGTGGTGGCGAGTTTATGGGCTCAGCTTTGTTCAGCCTTCAGTTCCTCGCCGGGCTTTAAAGTGAACGTTTACATTAAAGCGACTCGTGTGTGTCTCCATCCAGCGATGGGCTGATTAAAGCCGCGGGGCCTGCTGAAACCATCAGAGCTCAGTACGCAGGAGCAACATTTGATAAAGTGATTGATGCCACAGGAATGTGCGTCCTGCCCGGTGAGTGTCAGCTGTGATTTGTGTTGATGTTTTCCGCAGAGGCAAATTATTTTCTGTGTCAACATACAAGCAGCATTTCTGGACTGTTACTCAGGACAGTTTCCTTTAGTGTTTCCTGTTTATGCTTCTTCCTACTTCTGCTCCTTTACTTTTTACACCTTTTTACACTTGTCTGCTACAGCTACCGGTCGCTTTACAGATGAATATTTTACATACAAAATACTGGATGCACTTATATAAATATAATGCATCGTTTTCCCCTTATAACTGCAGTTCAACCAAAAAGACATTTCTCCTCTTAAATTCTCAGATAGTTTCATTTGGATAGCTGTAAAATTGAATAAAAGTGACACCTAATTACATTTAAAAAATATTCAAATTTGTGTAGCAGGAATTGCAGGTTTTCTTTTTTTTGTCTCCTGTCAATCATCTCATGACCCCTCAGATTTATCTTGTGACCCTTTGGGGCCTGTCCCATAGGTTGAGAACCCCTGGAATAAACTACACAACTTTGTGGTTGCAGTAGTTCTTCAGTAGAGGATATGAGCACTTCCACTGCTTTTTATTCAGTTGCATAATATATAAATCAGTGAATTAGCATGTCAACAATCTTCTTGTTTCAGGTTTGGTTGACGCCCACACCCATCCAGTCTGGGCTGGTGACAGGGTGCATGAATTTGCAATGAAGGTAAATTATTAAACACAAGTATTTTCACTATTTTTTTTTTTTTTAACCTAATGTCACATACTGCATCTAAACTTTTGGTGAAATTCGTGTTTCTTGACGCCTGCAGCTGGCGGGAGCCACCTACATGGACGTGCACCGGGCCGGCGGAGGGATCCACTTCACGGTGGAGCACACTCGAGCTGCCGCAGCCTCGGACCTTCTGTCCTCCCTGAGCGGCAGGCTGGTTCGGATGCAGCGAGCTGGCACCACGCTGGTGGAGTGTAAGAGCGGCTACGGCCTGGAGCTGCAGACTGAGCTCAAGATGCTGGATGTGATCGAGGCGGCCAGACGCGCCCTGCCCATCAACATCTCCTTGACCTACTGTGGAGCCCACGCAGTGCCCAAGTATGACCTATGCTCCCGCTCACCTCGTCTCACACCACCCCCTGCAATGTAACCGTGACTGTGTCTCTGTGTCCTGTGTGCAGAGGGAAGACGGTTGCAGAAGCCACGCAGGACATCCTGCAGGTTCAGCTGCCACGGCTGAAACAGCGGATGTCTGCGGGGACTCTCAGCGTCGACAACATCGACGTGTTCTGTGAGCAGGGGGTGTTTGACCTCGGCTCTACTCGCTCCATCCTGCAGGCCGGCAGAGACATGGGCCTCAACATCAACTTCCACGGAGATGAGCTTCATCCCATGAACTCTGCTCAGGTGCCACTCACTCGCTAAAGCTAAAGAAATGCGGATTGACCCACAATGTAGGATTAGTTTCATCCATTATTTAATACATTTTTTTTTAAAAATCACATAATTGTTTGTGCCACAAAATCTTAAAAAGAAAAAAAGGTGAAAATGTTCATCACAAGTTCTGAATGTCCAATGTGATGTCATCAAGTAGACAACAGTGAAATCTTAATGTTTTTTTGAGGCTGTTAAACGATTGTTTTCATCAGTACTGTTAGTAAATGCAGAAGCACGGCTCTAACTAATGATTATTTTCATTATTGATTAATCTGCAATTTTTTTTTATTCATTTATTAGTTGTTTGGAAAAATGAGCCCCAGAAAGTGTCTTTAATGGTTTATTTTGTCCAAACAATCGTCTAAAACCCAAATATATTAAATTTACAAAGATATAAAACTGAAAAAATCATTAAATCCTCACACGTAAGATGCTGAAACCAGAGAATATTTGGTATTTCTCTTTGATAAATGATCCATATCACTAGACTGCAAGACTCTGTAGGCATTAGAATAATAGTCTTGTTAACCTGAGTGTGGTGTGTGTGTGTGTGTGTGTGTGTGTGTGTGTGTGTGTGTGTGTGTGTGTGTGTGTGTGTGTGTCAGTTGGGAGCAGAGCTTGGAGCCTTGGCCATCAGTCACCTGGAGGAGGTCACAGACGAGGGGATTGCTGCCATGGCAAAAGCAAAAACCGCCGCGGTCCTTCTGCCAACTACAGCCTACATCCTCCGGTATACTGACACACAGATACTCCCACACACACGTGTCATGGCTGTGAGATGTCTAATAATCCCTGTGTGTGTGTGTGTGTGTGTGTGTGTGTTCAGGCTGCCCCAGCCTCGGGCCAGAGACATGCTGGAGGCGGGAGTGATCGTTGCCCTCGGCAGCGACTTCAACCCCAACGCCTACTGCTGCTCCATGGTGAGTGCGGCAGGAGAGGCGAGAGGTGAAAGCACGTCTGTGTCTTCTCTGTCTCTCTGTTAACCCCTCCCCCTCTCCCGTGTCCTTCCTCAGCCAATAGTCATGCACCTGGCCTGTGTTAATATGAGGATGTCCATGCCCGAGGCTTTGGCTGCGGCCACCATCAACGCCGCCTACGCCCTCGGGCGCTCCCACACACACGGCTCCCTGGAGGTCAACAAACACGGAGACCTGCTGATCCTCAACACCACACGGTAAATCAGGACAGTCCCGTGTGTTTATGGGATGTAGGGATAAATTATAATGATCAGTGAATGTTAAGTTGTGAAAAGTACAATTACTCAAGTCGTTTAAGTGGCCACAGCAAACAAACGAGATGTTGGGTAAGAGAGAGGCGACTGACCTACAACAAAAGGTCCCACGCCAGACTTTACATTATTCAGTTTTGTGTTCACGATGACAGAAACAGGGTCTTTGAAGGCCTGTCTTCCCTCACTATGCACAGCTTCCACTTTTTACCAACAAAGTCGTCATTAAACTAAAGGCAGAGCGGGGATCTGTGGATCAGTTTCCACAGAGAACAGTTTAAACATCTTGTTTAAACACCACAGTTCGTATGCAGCTGCTGCAAAAAGCCCCGTTTCCCCTGAAACAAGTCACTGCAAAGCTGTTGCTCATGATGGAATTCGAGCAGCTTTGGATGCACTTCACAAAACATCCAATAGAGGGCGTCGTACACCTGAAACTAAACTGAACAGCCACTGAGAACGGCTGACTCCTCTGCTCAGATATAATATAGTGAATGTGATCTAATACAGAAAATCAGGAGAGAAGAAGTGAGAGCATCTCGATCGAACACTGAACCTGAGCTAAAGTCATTGAATTGATTTTTACTCTTATGAACGAGTCTGACTCACTTGTGTTTATTCGTAGTTTGATAACCGCATGCTTCATGAGTTCATATGAAATACATGTGTGTAAAACAGATCATCTCCTGTATGTTTAACTGCAGGTGGGAACACCTGATCTACCAGCTGGGAGGACACCAGGAGCTCATCCGCTACGTCGTCGTCAAGGGCAACGTCGTCCACGACAATGACAAGACCATGGACTTATAACCAGTTAAGACTGATTCAAATTAGTGAAGGTACAATCAATAATACTGATAGATGACTGGGGCCTGTGTTCAGGAGAGGCTGCAGGGAGATGTGTAATCACAGGCTCAGTATTTTTTGTAAAAACTAAAGGGGGCAGTCCTGGGTAATTGTGTTGACAGTATTTTTCTTACTGTGTAATTAAAGTAAAAAAAGGGGAGAGTAGCCTAGCTAGTAATTTTTATTTTAATTATTTTAATTACACTGTATCATTCCTCATTAATAACAATACAAACAAAAAGTTGTACTGTGTTATTGATTTTCCCCAAACATCAGCTCTGTGTCTTTGTCCCCTGCAGGTATCCAGTAATTAAGTATAATTTATTTTCTCTGTTGCCAGTAGAAACCAGTGCGGTTGATTTAAACAAGTTAACAGGCTGTATCAGAAAGAGTTACCGTAGTTACTGAGATGTCAGTGTTCAGGCCCCAGTGAATCAATGTTACTATCTGAACTGTGAAACCAATGTCCTTTTAGATAAAAGTCATGTTACTTGTTGACTGAAATCACATTATTTCATCAGTTTCTGTCGCTCAGAGCGAAACCTACCTTCTTCTTTTGTGTCTGTAAAATCCATTTAAGTCAACTTATCTCAGCGAAGAGAAGGATTTCATTATCACCCCAGAAAGAGCAGGTACAAATATTTTGCACCTCATGTGATCAAAGAGTTTATTGATGTGACCTTTGTTGAACCTTTCAGTGACCCGACGGCCGCCCTGTTTTTATCTGTGTAATCAAAGGACGTTTGACCGTCGCAGTGAAAACAAAAGAAAACAAAAGTAATGAGGTCAATGAGTCAAGTGATTATTGTTTTTATCACCTGAAACGAAAAACATCATCACGCCTGCGAAGAGTGCACTCTGCTTTTATTGATCATGTTAGTACACAATGCTTGTTTCATCTAAATGGATCTTTACATTATATAATTCCACAGGCGTCACGTAAAAACCAAAACGTTTTCTCTTCGTGCTTCTTCTCGGTCGTTTTGACCAAATCTTCAGTCTGACATTTCACATGAAAACACTCATTATAGTGTGATTAAAAAAAAACAAAAACAATTCAACCATAAGAAAAACTAGTTCCAATGCTATTCACAACAATAACTGATGAAAACATTATAAAAAGGCTGTAGTGGCACACACAATAACTGACTTATTCTGACTATAAACAATAGGTAAGAGTAACAGGCATGACAGAGGTGATATATTTTATGTACCCGATATTAAACAGTTTGAAACGACCATCAGGCTTCATACTTCTTCCCTGCCCGGTGGATCTGTTGGTAAAGCGTCATAGAGAAAGCCATACCCAGGAGCTGGGGGAAGAAAAATACATCATTACTTTGCTGATCTGCGTTTTACTGTTTTGGAGTTTGGATGTAAGCCCCGTTTTCCCAGCTGCTTACCTGTATGACCAACACACACATAGCGATGGTTCCCAGAAGGTGTTTGTTGTCATCCAGCCACTCCTCCACCTTCTCATAGCAACCCTGAAAACACACACAGCAACACTACATAACATTGTGTACAACATACGCAATGTAGAAATGATCAGGACAGAGCTTTGCACGATTTCTCAAGTCTGTCCTGAAATAGTTGTTAAGTGCCTGTGACCACGGAAACTATTTTTTACTTGCTGAAATCGTTCCTCCTGTTCATACTCGACATTAAAAGATCTCTTTCAAGTACAATCCAAAGTTCATCTGAAGGTAAAACAAGGTTTCAGCGGTCTGAGGTAATCACTTCTTCCAAATTCAGTTTTCTTACTATAAAAATTGCCCCTTCGTGTCTCTGTCTCTTCACTCAACAGCTCAACAGGAGGAAAGGCTCTAACTACTGACGCATGGGGAACATTTACATCAATGCACATATACGTGCATGTGAGTGCTGTTTTAAGACGGACTTTAAAAGTGATGATCTGCGACTGCCTTTACATAAAAGCTTGTCTCTAGTATCAGAGTACATATTAGCAAATGTAAACCAGGTAAAGAGGGACTGGTTATGGAACAAATTCCAGCAGGAAAAAACACAATATAACTGCACTCTCATACATTTCAACGACTGTCAGCTTTTCTCCGCTTGATAAGAATCAGCGGTAATAAATTATTGGAGCCGAGTGTGAAATTATATTGTGTTTTCTTCTTAAAGTTTCACATAATGTGAAAGCGGTGGATGAATACATATTAGGTGCTCAAGTGATTATATCTGGCGGCGGTGTTTTGGATCAATTCATTGTTGGTTTGTCGGCAGTAAGAAAAACACAGAACATCACCAGACGTATAAAGTTCACGACTGACCCGTGTCCAGAAGGCATTGGAGGCGTTGCGGCCGCAGCCCGGGTAAATCTGCTGGCAGCAGCGGTCGGGAACAACGTGATCCTGCAGGGCGGTGTACCAGTCGTTGTGGTTCATCACTCCACAACACCTCCACTGGCAAACAAGCGGGAGAAAAGGAAACAGTCAATTATTTAAAAAAATAAACTGCACGACAAACTTCATTTGCAGTTACTAAAGGTACGTGGATTATACCTCTCCCTGGATGGTGTTCCACGCATCCTTCAGGCCCGCGTTGTTATCCGTGTAGTACAGCACCAACCCTTCCTTCAAGTCCCGTCTGGCGTTTTCGCTCACCTGGCCGGAAACAGAGGCGGACAGGTGGATTATGTAACATGTCGCCACACTCAGCTGCGGCAATAAACATGAATGTTCCTTTACACAGTCTCACCTTGTCGGTGTAGACGAAAAACAGGATGAGGAGGATAAGCTCGGCCAAGAGGATGATCAACAGAACGATGAAGAACTGGGAAAAGAAACAGGAGAATGGATGATGAGATAGAGGCGAGATACACTACTGTTGCTTTCATGACAGTTTAATAAGATAGTAAATATAAGATCAATACTTAGAAATACGTATTAGCTTTTAAACGCAAAGAAAATTTTACTTGGGGTTTGTTGAGAGATCTTTACTTTTCCAAACCAAAGAGACATCTCTTAAAGTTTCTATAAGGCTGTCGTAAGTGTGAAGACAATCCAACCACTTCTAAACAACGCCACACTGATGCACTATGGGTACTGTAGTGCGCTCACGCTCAGCAGCAGGCACTTGTTCTCCTTGATGGCACCCAGGCAGCCCAGGAAGCCCGTTACCATGACAACGGTGCCGAGTGTGATGATGAGGTTGGCGGCGGAGAGCGAAGGGAAGGAGGGCGACAGGGTGGCGAAGCTGCCCTGAGAAACCGACAGCCACACGCCGACACCGAGCAACCCGCACCCACCCAGCTGAAAACACACACAGGAAACTCAGACACTTCCTGCCGATTCAATGATAACGAAAGGCCTTTAATTTGTGCACTGATGTCATGACTGATTCACGGTAACATCTAAATTTCCTGACTCTTTGTGTGTGTGTGTGTGTGTGTGTGTGTGTGGAATAATTACCCAGAAGAGCAGGTTGAAGAGAAAGAGCATGTATTTCACGCAGCAGATGCAGCCGCGAGCCATGACTGAATTGACAGGCACTGCAAAAAAAAACAAAACATGAAAAGACAATATACAAGTTTAACAGAAAAAGTTTAACGAAGTGATGAAGTCTCTTACACTGGCTGCACATTGAAATCAGAGTTGGTGATTATTTAAATGTATTATTGTCTGTAGTCCGTCAAACTTCAGCATTATGCAGGAATAAATTAAACGATACAAATGAATTTTTATGACATCAAACCACATCATACATCACAATAAGTGGGTAGGATGACGGACAACATTTCTCATCTATTGGAAGTTATTTGTATCATCAAACAAACCACTTTGTTCCCAATTACATCACGTTAACCGTAAACAGTCATGACCAGGAGATCAACTCACCACTTCAACAAACAGGAGAACAGAGAAGCTCTAGTGGTGAACCTGTGACACAAAAGGCACACAGACATTTATACACTACTGTACATGTGTAAAATTTATCATTGAAAGTAATGATTTAAACTAATATCAGGCGATATATACTGGCCCAACATCTCTATCTAACATTATTTGGCTTTAACATGTTCTGTGAAATTTAACTGTTGCTTCATGTTCAGCATAACTACTTTTTTTCATGCCCTAAAACTCATACAGCGAACTGTTTAAGGTTTCATGTAAAGGCAACAGGTTTCAGTCTAAGAATATCTTACTAACAAAGTTACATTTTAATTTGGAATTAATAATAAAAATATCTCGAATAAACATTTTGATTTGTCAGTGTCCCATAAAACACTTGACTTTTTGATCAAGTGTTTTTTATATTCCATGATCATCATCATCATCATCATCATCAGAGTGAGATTCTGTTTCTCCAAACGATCTCTGCTCCCAACGTGACGTCACTGCAATGAACTCTTCTCTGCGGTTTTTTTTTTTTTTTTTTTTTTTTTTACAAAAGTTTGCGACAAACTTGACAAAATACAAACACACGCCCGCGCTAAATGAGCTATTTTTACTCTATCGCGATAACAAATCCCGTTGGTGTTCGCCTACATGCAGCTAAACCACTTCCCCCGCGACTCGGGCCGTGATTGTTTTCATGTGCATGCCCCTCGGAGATGAGACAAGGAAAAAGAAAAGAAAGGGGGATAGTTTCCTACCGTCGGCTACGAACTGAAGCTCATCTTCCCGCAAAGGTCTAGAGTTTCACCCGCAGAAACGTGCGCTGCTTTCCCTCACAGCATCACTCGGTATAAAAACATAAATCCGACGGTTGTAAAGTGTGGACTGAGCTTTGAAGTTTCGTCGATGGCTGGAGAGGAGGAGGAGGAGGAGGAGGGGATTGGGTTGGGAGAGGGCGGGGCACGGAGGAGGACGGAGCCGGAGTGGAGGCGTGACTGGCGGTGGTACAGAGAGGGACCAGCCGGTCGACGACCCTGGCTGTGGCCACGTGCCCCTGGGTTGCGCCTGAACCATAGACAGTATATAAAAATGGACGTCTGGAAAACGAAGCCAATGATATTGATATTAACTATGAAATATGAACTCTAATGTTTTAAACTATTGACAGTTTGTTACAGCTACAGTGGAGTCCAAAAGTCATGTGATTGTATGTCTGACATGGGGCAGAGAGTGTAATACGACAGTGAGGGTGTAGGGAACAAGGAAGAGCGTAGCTGATAAGACTGAACAATGTTATGGCCACAAGTGTTACTTTAAAAAAGTACTATATTATCATGTAAGACACTGTGTTTATGTTTGGGAAGAGAAGATCTTCATGTGTGGATACTGCAGGTGGAGGTGGTGCAGGGCCTCCATCATTGCTGCAAGAGGTTGTAGGTGTCCCCAAAGATCCAGACCTTGGCTGGATGGAAAAAAACTTTATAATAGAGAGAAATGATATCAATATCATATTGTAGAGGATAGAGAAAAATCCAAAAGAAACAGCACTCTGGTTAGATGATCACACAGATATCTGAATCTGTATGTTTATTAGTTAGCAGCATAGAGCTGCCCCCCCCCCCATTTTCATTAGATCCAGCATTAGCAGCTGGTTTGCTGGCATTGTTCATTGATGAATGAATTTAACGATTTGATTATAAGATTGCAAAATGACAAGTGGGGTGGCTAGTTTGCTAGTATAGCAGCTGGCTTGCTGGCATTGTTCAGTGATTAATGAATTTAACAATTTCATAAGATTGCAAACTAACAAGTGGGGATGATAGCTAGCATTAGCATTTTTTTTTCATTATTGGTGAAAAAGTGCATATAAAGTGACATTTTGTTTGTGATTGTATAAAATAATAATGACAATAATAATAAAAATAACAATGATAATGATTATTGATAACAATTATAATGCTAACAATGACAAATTATAATTGCAATAAATGATAATGATGATAATAATTAATAATTAATAATTAGTATCTTTTTATGGCTTTTTATGCCATACTATACTATTACATTTTTATGCCTTACTATACTGACGTTTTTATGACTTTTTATGCCTTACTATATTGATGTTTTTATGACTTTTTATGCCTTACTATACTATGACATTGTTATAAGTCTTTATGCCTTACTATACTGACGTTTTTATGACTTTTTATGCCTTACTATACTATGACATTGTTATAAGTCTTTATGCCTTACTATACTATGACTATTTTGTGACTTTTTATGCCTTACTATACTGACAGTTTTATGACTTTTTATGCCTTAATATACTTTGACATTTTAAAGCCTTTTTATTCCTTACTGTACTATGGCTTTTTATGCCTTAATGTACTATGATGATTTTATACCATACTATACTATGATGTTGTTATGCATTACTAAACTGAAATTTCTTTACTTTTTATGCCATACTATACTATGACGTTTTCTATGAGTCTTTATGCCTTAATGTACTATGTTTTTTTTTTTTACTTTTTATGCCTTACTATACTGTGGCGTTTTTATGACTTTTTATTCCTTACTGTACTATGATGTTTCTATGACTTTTTATGCCTTACTATACTATGAAGTTTTTATGATTTTTATGCTTTAGTATAGTGTGAATTCCGATTGATCACTTCTTGTTGTCTTGGATAATTTTTTACCACAGTCTCTCTATACCTCAGTTCATGCCTGTTCCATTGCTGCTGCCTGCTCCTGCTGGAACTGACTGCTGTGCTGCCATTTCCAGCCACCTCACTCACCTGCTGCTCCCATTCAGACAACTCACCTGCTCCACGCCAGCCATCCACCTCCACGCTCCTCCTGCAACAACCTGGATCCTTCCCCCCCAACCCTCCCCAAGAACTCGCTCCCTTATTCACTGAACAATACCCAATAAAGATTTGTTATTACTAAACTACTGGTTGTTTCTGCATCTGAATCTGCACTGGGGACCAAGCAGTATTTGAACCATAAAGTAACAATGACATTTTTATATCTAACTATAGTATGATGTTTTTATGATTTTGAATGCCTTAATATACTATAACATTTTTATAAATTTTTAGGTGTTAGTATACTACTACATTTTTATGCCTTACTATACTTTGTTGTTTTTATGCCTTACTATACTATGGCATTTTTATGACCTTTTATGCCTTAATATACTCTGTTTTTTTGACGTTTTACACCATACTATACTTTTATGACCTTTTATGCCTATGATGTTTTTTTGACGTTTTATGCCATACTATACTACGACGTTTTATGATATTTTTATGCCATAGTATATAATCTTGTCTCACGCTTTGCCATACTATAATATTTATATGGCCTTTTATGCCTTAATATAATATGATGTTTTTTGACGTTTTATGCCATACCATACTATGACGTTTTATGATATTTTTATGCCATAGTATATAATCTTGTCTCATGCTTTGCCATACTATAATATTTATATGGCCTTTTATGCCTTAATATACTATGATGATTTTTTGATGTTTTATGCCATATGACGTTTTTTCAGAATTTTTATGCCATACTATATTTTGATGTTTTTTGGCAATCTTATGCTTTACTATATTATTTTGTCTTATGGCTTGCCATACTATGATGTTTTTATGACCTTTTACACCTTGATATAATATGATGTTTTTTTGACGTTTTATGACATAGTATGCTATGACGTTTTTATGATTTTTTATGCTTTAGTATAGTATGAATTCCGATTGATCACTTCTTGTTGTCTTGGATAATTTTTTACCACAGTCTCTCTATACCTCAGTTCATGCCTGTCCCATTGCTGCTGCCTGCTCCTGCTGGAACTGACTGCTGTGTTGCCATTTCCAGCCACCTCACTCACCTGCTGCTCCCATTCAGACAACTCACCTGCTCCACGCCAGCCATCCACCTCCACGCTCCTCCTGCAACAACCTGGATCCTTCCCCCCCAACCCTCCCCAAGAACTCGCTCCCTTATTCACTGAACAATACCCAATAAAGATTTGTTATTACTAAACTACTGGTTGTTTCTGCATCTGAATCTGCACTGGGGACCAAGCAGTATTTGAACCATAAAGTAACAATGACATTTTTATACCTTACTATACTATGTTGTTTTTTTGACTTTTAATGCCTTATTGTACTATGGCGTTTTTATGCCCTACTATACTGTAATTTTTATGCCTTACTATACTATGTTGTTTTTTTTAACTTTTTAAACCTTTATATACTGTGATGTTTTTATGACTTTTTATGCCTTACTATACTATGCAGTTTTTATGCCTTACTATACTATGTCGTTTTTATACCTTATTTTACAATGACGTTTTTATGACTTTTTATGCCTTACTATATACTATGTCGTTTTTATGCCTTTTAGGCCTTACCATTCTATTTAGTTTTAATGCCATACTATCCTATGATGTTTTTTGATATTTTTATGCCTTACTATATTATGTTGTCTTATGCTTTGCCATACTATGATGTTTTTATGAACTTTTATGCCTTAATATACTATGACGTTTTTTGATATTTTATGCCATACTATATTTTCACGTTTTTTGGCATTTTTATGCCTTATTACATTATTTTGTCTCATGCTTTGCCATACTACGATGTTTTTATGACCTTTTATGCCTTAATATACCAAGATGTTTTTTTGACATTTTATGCCATACTATACTATGACGTTTTTTGGCATTTTATGCCATAGTATATTTTGATGTTTTTTAGCATATTTATTTCTTATTATATTATTTCGTCTCATGCCTTGCCATACTATGACGTTTATTTGACCTTTTATGCCTTAATATACCAAGATGTTTTTTTGGCCATTTTATGCCATACTATATTTTGACGTTTTTTGACATTTTTTTCCTTATTCCATTATTTTGTCTCATGCGTTGCCATACTATGATGTTTTTATGACCTTTTATGCCTTCATATACCAAGATGTTTTTTTGGCCATTTTATGCCATACTATATTTTGACGTTTTTTGACATTTTTTTCCTTATTCCATTATTTTGTCTCATGCGTTGCCATACTATGATGTTTTTATGACCTTTTATGCCTTCATATACCAAGATGTTTTTTTGGCCATTTTATGCCATACTATATTTTGACGTTTTTTGACATTTTTTTCCTTATTCCATTATTTTGTCTCATGCGTTGCCATACTATGATGTTTTTATGACCTTTTATGCCTTCATATACCAAGATGTTTTTTTGGCCATTTTATGCCATACTATATTTTGACGTTTTTTGACATTTTTTTCCTTATTCCATTATTTTGTCTCATGCGTTGCCATACTATGATGTTTTTATGACCTTTTATGCCTTCATATACCAAGATGTTTTTTTGGCCATTTTATGCCATACTATATTTTGACGTTTTTTGACATTTTTTTCCTTATTACATTATTTTGTCTCATGCTTTGCCATACTATGATGTTTTTATGACCTTTTATGCCTTCATATACCAAGATGTTTTTTTGACATTTTATGCCATACTATACTATGATGTTTTTTGGCATTTTATGCCATACTATATTTTGATGCTTTTTAGCATATTTATGCCTTATTATATTATTTCGTCTCATGCCTTGCCATATTATGACGTTTATTTGACCTTTTATGCCTTAATATAATATGATGTTTTTTTGACGTTTTATGCCATACTATATACTATGACGTTTTTTGATATTTTATGCCATACTATATTTTGACGTTTTTTGACATTTTTTTCCTTATTACATTATTTTGTCTCATGCTTTGCCATACTATGATGTTTTTATGACCTTTTATGCCTTCATATACCAAGATGTTTTTTTGGACATTTTATGCCATACTATACTATGACGTTTTTTGGCATT